ATAGATAGATAGATAGATAGATAGATAGATAGATAGATAGATAGATTGCCACTTTTTAGACTTCAAACATAAAGATATAAAATTGTGATTTCTTGTGAAGAATCAACAACAAGTGGGACAAAATTATTAACTGCAATAAAATTTATTGGATATTTTAAACTTGTTTTAGAAGAAAATAAAATTAAGATGAATTGGCTCCTTTACTTTCAGGGCAGCAAACTCTCCAGAAGTTCAGTGAAGATCTCTAAATTTATCCAATGTTGACTTAAAGGACCCATGATGATAAATATAATCCCCCTGTGTGTGATCGACTTTCAGCATTAAATATCACAAGGAGCACTGAGCTAGCAATAATATTGTGCGCTGATGACTGGCTTGATTGCTCATTCCATTCACCTGACTAGCTCTGCCAAGTTTCTCATCACCATTCATCTGTGTCACTTGCTCCAGTCTCTATCTAACCTGCTTGCTCCCAGTCTTCAGTGCCAGATTATTCAAACCTTTGGTGAGAGTTCTCTAGCATACCTGATTTTGGTCTGCTTGCCCGATCCTGGCCTGTTCTGCCTGTGGACCTCTGAGCCTGCCTGTTCCTGTTTAGATCTGTTTGCCTGACCTGTCTTCGGACTCCTGCTGTAACTGCCTGTTGACGGAACCTGAATCTACTTCCTCACATAAACCTGGATTTCCCTTCATTACCTCCTTCAATCTCAGATCTTCTGGCTCGGTCTCCTGTCATCCTCCTTGACACCAGCTTTCACTTCGCCTTCTGGATAGTCCTGCCTTCCTTCGTCTGCTTGGAACTGATCTGTTGCCTCTCCTGCTGTCTTCAAGGCTTCATCGTCTTTGACTCACAAGGCGTGATCGCTGCGTGGTGCTGGCAGCTATTAGGCTGGAATCCACCTCTTCCTCTGGCCATGGACTGAACTTGGAGACCAGAGGTTCCTGTCTTAGTTCCTTGCAGTCACTGCAGATCCATAGTTTTTAAATAAAAGCCTTTAAGAGAAATCTGTCTGTCTGCAATGATTACTAGGTCCTCTGTTTTGAGACTTGACAAATATTGAAAGGGAAAGAGTATCAGACCACTGTGAATCTACAAAGTCCCGGCCATCCTTCTAAACTTTGAGCACAAACAAAGAAAAGACTGATCAGAGACATACCCCAAGCGAAAAGGTGGCACTACAAAGTATTACCGGTAACTGAAGGGGGCTGAATATATTTTCAAATCTCTTTTGACTATGATCAACAGCTAACATCATGTAAAAACATAAACCACTAAAATCAAGAGGTTTGTTTTCAAGACTAAACTATTAATTTATGTGGAACTATGTCTCTAAATTATGTGTTTTATAACCTGCCAACGTATAACTTCCCATTTTAGTTATGGCTTCCTGGTTATAATTCAATCTTCAGTGTTGCACATTTTACAGCTTAGGTCATACAATCTGGTAACCTCAGGTCAGATTAACGTCAAGTTGGATGTAGGCCTGAAATATAACTGAAATATATATAACTATTATAATTGAGCAGTAATTCAGTCAAAACAGTACTGAAAACATAAACAATTTGATGAAAACACTTTTATGTCTGTAAATTTGTCTTTAACCAGAGCTCCCATGTGACATTGTTTTAGCTTCAGCTTTTTAAAAGAAATCTCCTGTTAAGTAATATATCTGATATAACTGACAAATAGATAAATAGTCAAGAGATTAACTGATCAAAAGGCCTTCATACCAGACTGATGAGCCTTTAGCTCATATCTCCCAAATTAAGTGCAGGGCTTGATGTTAACCATTGCCCGATCTCCCGGGGCAAGTAGTTCTTATTGTCGGGAGAGTACAAATTTCATTACATTTGCCCGCCGGGCAAGTGCAATGATCGCCAAAAATATATTTATCACTCAAAATTACTTTAAAATCACCGACATTTGCTGAAAACGACCCACAAGCATTGCGCCATTTTTGTTGTTTGGTACACATTCTCGCGTGAATTCAAAAAGCCGTGTGATTTTCCGCCAGATGGCGTGATTTTTGTCCGGTGCAAATCAGACACATTTTTTTCCGACTTGGCAGGCTAAAAAACAACAACAAGGCTATTTTACCCTCCACCCATTTCACCCACCAACCAGATAACCCTAGATTAAAAATTATTTATCAGGGATAAGGAAAATTGG